AGATTTATAGGAATGGCAATTTTTTATAGAAAACTTGTACTAAATTTCAGCAACATAATATTACCGCTGATAGTGCGAATGCGTCTTGAACAAAAATCTAAAACACTAACGTTTACTAAGGAAGAGACTGAATCTATTAAAAATATAAAGAACTGTTTAACAAATGTAAACACTCTAGCTTTTCCCGACTCGAAGGCTATTAAATATCAGCTAGTGACAGATAGTTCGAATTATGCCGTAGGAGCAGCTCTTCATCAAATAACCAACCAATCCCTATTGAGTTCTTTTCAAAAAAATTGTCACCAACCCAATAGAAATATTCCACGTTTGACAGGGAACTATTAGCTGCGTACCTAGCAGTATTACATTTTAAACACTTAGTGGAAGGAAGAAATGTGTTATTAATGACTGACCATAAACCACTTTGCAGTGTTTTTAAAAGCCAGTCTCCATTAAAGTCTGATAGACAACGACACCTCAGTTTCATTAGTGAATACGTTAATGATATATCATACATAAAAGGCTCACAAAATATTGTAACCGATTGTTTATCACGACCAGCAAATGCAATCAATATTGATGTTTGCGACCTACAAGAAATAATGACACACTAAAATACTGACGATGAAATCGAAACTTTCCGTGATCGTCTGAAACCATATACTGTAAGCAAAAACGAAGTAGTGCTATGTGACGTGTCATTACCTTTTCCACGACCTTTTGTCACGCAAAAGCTAAGAAAATCGGTATTTGACAGTCTACATAATTTATCACATGCTGGTACATCAGCCTCTATAAAACTCATAAAAGCAAAATATAACTTGCCTGAAATGGCCAAATCGAAAAAAAAAAACTTGGTGTAAGCAATGCCAGCAGTGCCAGCAAGCGAAAATAACAGAACACACAAAAAGTAAAGTTCAACCGTTCAAATTACCCTCCAGCCGCTTTCAGACGGTGCATATTGATATTGCTAGGTCCTTAACGCTAGTAAAGAACCCTACTGATCCTTATTTTGTCACCCTATCGTTATATTTTAACATGTATTGATAGGAACACCAGATGGATTGAAACATGCCCAATACACAGCGAAATCAGTATCAATAGCTTTCGTAGACTTATGGATCTCTAGATTCGGTATTCCACTCCACGTTGTAACAGATAGAGGAAGCCAATTCGAATCTGAATCGTTCACAGAATTATCCAAAATAATTGGTTTTCACCGACTGAGAACAAGAGCATACTACCCGCAAAGAAACGGTTTAGTAGAAAGATCACATAGAACTCTGAAGACAGCAATAATAGCAAGAATAGACAGCAATAATAGCAGCTCTTCCCCTTGTGCTTCTTGGAATCAGGATAACACTTAATGAATCCAACTATTATTTCCTGTTTACTGCATTAACGGGAAGTCAAGCTCAAGTTCCGCGATTGTTAATCGATCCTGCTAAAGATGAAGACATAGAACTAACAAACTCTCACATCAAGACTTTAACTGAAGAGATGCTAAAATTTGACATGGAAAATTTTTCCAGCGGACATTTACACTCTACACTTAAGTCATATATTCTTAAAGATTTACAAAACTGTGAATATATTTGGCTGAGAATGGACAGAATATGAAAACCTTTTTAGCCCATTCCAAGTAATAAGCCGACATGACAAATATTTTACGATCAAAATATCTGAAAATGTGAATAATAATGTTTCCATTAACAGACTAAAACCAGGATATATTTCTAAAAATACAAAGATCTTGTCGAAAGAAATCCGGAATTGAACGATTCCAAATCTCATATCGATAGAGCTCATGATGAAAAACAAATAACTAAAACAAAAACTGGTAGAACTATTAAATGGAAAAAATACAACACATATTTTTACTACTGAAACACACACAAAAAAAATGCACATAATTACACTCAGTTATTTGAACGGGGGCCTATATGCAGTGAACAAAACAAGATCTAGATTTAAAATTCAAATGTTAAGCACTGACTCATTGATTTTGTTAGAAATTAAAAAGACTCGAATTTATAAACTTTGCTTAACACACACACAAAAACGAATCAAAAACAAAACTCGTGAAATTTCCCACTTTGATGCGAATTTTTTTCGGCCAATAGAAAACTAGAAAACATTTAAAAACGAAATTCAAATAATCTTCAATTCTCAGAAACAAATTCTTTTACGGATATTTTTGCGATCCGACGCGAAGTTTGTTCGTCGTCCAATGGAAAGGCCCGAATCATATCAAGGAGTGAATTCCAAAATGACCTTTTCAAGCCCCACAAACAAAATAAAAGACGGGCAAGTTCGCCTGTTACCAGAGAGGAGACGAGTGGATTAACACGTCCCTTGACAAATGTCAAGCGAGCGTTATTATTATCTCTATCTTTCTCCCTCACCTCTTTTATACTTGATAAACGAACGGAACATTTTAAGACTGAGCGATTACTTCAAAGACATTCCTACTTTAAGATAACACTCATACATACATATGTTCCTGCCTACGTACACATAAACTCATTCTTGCAAGGACTACTACGAACATTTTTGACGACCTTGTATCAACCAAAATACATTAATTTTATTTGTATAGACCTTAATTGATTTATATGTATATAAATTTGTTGTTTCACTTTACAATTTGATTTTCTTGTTTTATACCCCTCTTATGGTGGGCTATCTAACTAACAAGGCTAAATCAAACTAATCTGTTTCAACACTCATACACTTCACTATAACTGATAATCCACTATAAAGCCACTAAGACACAAGGGATTACTTGGTGTGGAAGAATTTGAAATGTTACTAAAGTGTGAAAACAATAGAAAAGTAATCAAAAGGACAGAAATTTTTAAACATTCTAGTTGGCTGGAAAGAATAAAGCCGTAAAGAAGTTCCACAAGCAAGATGTGTGAGAAAAGAAACTGTTAGCATAGAACCTACGGTTACACCTAGCCATCTCATCTGTAAATTAATGAGATCTCAACCCCAGTTTAGTACTGTTGTAGCATAAACATAAACGATGGTGCGAGGTAATGCTTTCTCCATCATTATAGCTGGCAGAAGATAGCAAAAACAAAAAAAAATTGTTTATAGATACTTTGTACAATTCATATTGTTTTTTAAGTTCGTCTTAGATTTTTAGCGTTTGTGATGACGTCATCAACATATCGTCTGCTGAAAACGTTGCAAATAAATATTATTATAATTTTTAGCCGGTAATATTGTAGACATATCAATGAGTCCACTTCATAGATATGGTCAATTCGTTCTTCTCTATCGTGTCGACATTGTCACAGCTTTTTATTAAAAAAAATGAGACAAATCGATTTTTTAGCTTTGTTATTTACTTTGCTCGTTCCTGTATATGTTTAATATGCAGTATCGTCATTTAATGTAGGGATTCGTCTAATTCAATTTATATGTTCCTTTTCACCAATGACAGCAAATTGTTTTTACTCTTTTAATTAGTATATAAGTTAAGATGAACGATTTAAGAATAATAATATAACGTCCCCCGAGGAAGTCATGATTAGATTTTTTTCTCTCTCAGATATGGCTTATATAACAGCGGTAGCAGTAGATGGATGATAAAATCATGTCGAGAAGTCACCATAATGTGATATTGTTCCTGGGTAACCCGACGTGGTGTAATGGTTAGAAAGCTTGTCTTGAAAGCTAGAAAGGTTAGAAATCTTGTCTTACGATTGAGTAGTGAGTTCGATCCTCACTGGGTGCCCCATACTTTCGGCCTTGTGCCATATCTAAGCCGTGCTTAGAAAATCACTATCATCGTACCTTTCCAGCGATTTTTGGGCACCTCGGCGTGGTGTAATCGTTAGCAATTTTGTCTCGCTAAAACAGTTACGACTGAATCGTGAATTCGATCTTCACTGGGTGCCTCATACTTTCGGCCTTTTGACATATCGTAGCTACGATTAGAAAATCATTAGGGCACCTCGACGTGGTGTAATGGTTAACAAACCTGTCTCACTAGAACTGTTACAACTGAGTAGTGAATTCAATCCTCACTGGGTGCCCCATGCTTTCGGCTTTGTGCCACATTTAAGCTGTGCTTAGAAAATCATTTAGTTGTATTGTTCCTTGTTTAGCTAAAGTTAGTGGCAAACATGATTTAAACATTTAAATGGCGGGTCGTGATTGTCAGCAAAGGTGAAAGGTAATGTAATAAATTTGAACAAAGCAATATATGTGTTTTATATAACTAAGTAACAAAGGAGAGAAAATACACTATAGAAGAAAGAAGACATTGAAAATTGTGTAGGTGATACACGCGCATGCGCGTTCGTGAGTGTGTGTGTGCGTGTGTGTTTGTAAGATAACTATGGACATTACATTTAAATTTTTGAAGACCAGGACCTCTGATCGGGAGGTTTTGAGGAACGTTGAACCACTTCTTAATTGCTGTTGTTCTCAGGTTCATCCCGATCCAGAGTGGTAGCATCTGTTAGGGTCCCAGCTATGGGTAAATAGTGAACCCCCAAACAAGAATAAAACACTATGAAACTATAAACTTATATTTTTATAATAAAAATACCGTCAATACGTTTTTATACAAAAAACAACCAACAATACATATTTATAGTAAAATGACCAGCAACACATTTTATCTGTAGTTGAAGCCATAAAATTGTGTTCAAAATATTTAGATTTTGGCATTAAATAAACCATAGAGGTTGATATGCTGCTAAACAAAATCAAACAAACAACTATTTTACTCGGAATTTTAAATTTTCCCTATTTTATAAGTACTAGGCAATGATAAGACGATTATTAATTCATATTCATTAAACATAATTTAAGATATAAATAATAGCTTTTTATTTGTCAAGTTTAAAGTAGCAGAAATATTTATTTTTAATAGGTCAACCGAAAAACTAATTTGTTAGAAATTTTGTATAAATATTGAAAAGTGTTACACAATACATCTATTTAATTTATCTATTTATCTATCTAGTTGTGTGTGTGTGTGTTCATGTATGTGAGTGTAGCGTACGTGTGTGTGTAGATAGATAGAAAGATAGATAGATATGAATAGACAGATAGACAAATAAGGAATGCACTGAGATCAATAGATAATGAATAGATTGAGATAGATAGATATAGAGATATGAAAAGATAGATATGAACAGATGAGGATAGACAGATAACAACGACATTGAGATAGATAGATAGATAGATAGATAGATAGATAGATAGATAGATAGATAGATATGAATAGACAAACAGATAAGGATTAGACTGAGATCGATAGATAATGAATAGATTGAGATAGATAGATAGATAGATAGATAGATAGATAGATATAGAGAAATGAAAAGATAGATATGAATAGATGAGGATAGATAGATAACCAAGACATTGAGATAAACAGATAGATACGAATAGAAAGACAGATAAGGAATAGAGATCGATAGATAATGAATAGATTGAGATAGATAAATAGATAGATAATGAACAAAAATACAGATATGAAGAGATAGATCGATAGATAGATACATAGATATGAACAGATGAGGATAGATAGATAACGAAGACATTGAGATAAATAGATAGATAGAAAGAAAGAGAGAGAGAGAGAGAGAGAGAGGGAGATGGATATAGATATGAATAGACAAATATATAAGGAATAGACTGAGATCGATAGATAATGAATAGATTGAAATAGATAATAAACAGAAATACAGACATGAAAAGATAGATAGATAGATAGGGAGAGAGAGAGATATGAATAGACAGGTATATAAGAAATAGACTGAGATCGATATATATATATATATATATATATATATATATATATAGAGAGAGAGAGAGAGAGAGAGAGAGAAATAGAGATAGATATGAATAGACAGGTATATAAGGAATAGACTGGGATCGATAGATAATGAATAGATTGAAATAGATAATAAACAGAAATACAGAGATATGAAAAGATATATATATATATAGAGAGAGAGAGAGAGGGGGGGGAGAGATATGAATAGACAAGTATATAAGAAATAGACTGACATCGATAGATAATGAATAGATTGAAATAGATAGATAGATAATATACAGAGATATGAAAAGATAGATAAATACAGTTTCACGCCTCGTTTCCTGAGGTAAGAAACTAATAATTACCATATTGCGTTGATTTTTATGCCCTCATTTCTATATGTACAAATGCCCCATCACCGACCCGATAGTTAACATTGTCTCCCCACCCCTGCATAAATATAACAACTTTGAAAGAATAAATGGATACACAGATGTTGGTTGGTCAAATAAAAATCTCCTTTTCCTCAAAATTGAAAAAAAAAAAAACGGAGTTTAGCAAGTTTCGCATAGTATAAAATTCTACTCTTATTACGTTACCAAAAGAGTCCACAACATAGAGATGAACATTTTCTCTCTTTTGTTGTCATTTACTTACTTACTTACACACACACACACACGCACACTGGCTTATAGACATTACGTTTTATATACGTGGACATTTTTAAAACTAAAATAACAGAATTAACCATAATTTTTTTTAAATAGTTTCACTTCAAGCAAGGAAATAAAGCCACTAAGGTGCAAGCGGGGTTACTGGATGTGAAAGAATATAAGAAAAGAAGAACACTATTAAAGTGCGAGAATCTTAAAAGAACAGGAATTAAGAAGTCAGGGGATAACGATTGACATTACATTTAAATTTTTGAAGATCAAACTTGACTGGAATTAAAAAGCCGCAAGAGAATTCCACAAACGATAAGTGAGCTAGAAGAAACTGTTAGTAAAGAACTTACACTTACATCTAGACATCTCAACTGTAAAATGATGGGACCTGGCCGCCAATCTAGTACTGCGCTTATATTCATAAAGCCTCGATACCATAGAGGTAAGTTCATCAGAAAAATTAACATGTAAATATTTATAGAAAAGTCACAGGGAAGCTACCTTACGGCGGTGGGAAGGTTACTGAAGCCGATATTGCAGATTCTGTTTTGTATTTTATCAAGAATCTCTAAATATATAGCAGAAGCACCAGACCAGATGTGACATTTTCTTATGTTAATATTGATTAAATGTTTATTTGTGAGATGTTTTCATTGTTTAGGCTTCGAAAATATATGGTTTCCTTTTTAATGTCCATTATCGACATCTAAATAGCATGTTATTTTTCGATTAAATCATACGGTTAAAATCGATAATATAATGACGTGCTGATGATGAATCAAAATTGGGCTAACAAAAGAGAACACCTTTGTGAAAACTAGAGAAATTTGCAGTGCTAATTATCTCAGTGTCATTATGCTACTCGGTCTTAAGCAACTCTTTATAATTTTCAGCTGTGTTTAAACGCAGACACCACTTTTTGTCTGACTTTATGGGATGTAAAGTTGTCATTATTTACACTATTTATATGCGGACTATTGTCCTCATCTCTGCTGTTATTATCACAACGTTTCAGCCGTTGTGCCCTCCGGCCTTCATCAGATGTATGTATATCGATTATAATTATGTTAGACTATGAGGACCTCCTTTGTATGCTTATTAAATATATAGAGATACAACATGGGAGCCGCTAATAAAGAAAGAAAGACAAATGGCAGCATGTCTTCAACATAAGCAGCAGTAGCATTTGCAGCACTGATCAGCAGGTAGGCTAGGTTTATAGCTCCAAGTTCACTACAGAGAATTGTCCAACGGGACAATAGCCTAGTGGATTAAAGTATTGGTTTGTGCATTTCGTGACATAATAATTATAAGTTCAATCTCTCGGCTGGGATAATACTGAATACATATTTCGACTCAGTAGAAATGGGTGAGCAATAACTGACAAAAAGCAGTGGAAATAATTACCTGTAGGTTACCCAGATCGATATACACAGGATGAAGGCCGGATAACAGCAACACAGATGAGGACAATAGTCCGAATGTAAATAGTGCAAATAATACAGACGCCATTATGCACGGTTTTCCGAAGGAAATCAATTTTGGTCGTTTGGAGAAGCATAAGGTATTTTTTCTTTATTAAACTGCAAGAAGACAGAATGCTTGGTTTTTAACAAAAGGAACAGCCCAACATGCGAGTTACAAATTGGAGATACCAAAATCAAAGAAGTGCAACAATTTAAATATCTGCGAAGTGTTTTAAAAGAAGTCGGAAAGTGCGACACTGAAATCCGAAGTCACATTGCGATAGCGAAAGATGTCATCGAAAAGTTAAGCAAAATATTAAGAAACAGGAAAATTTAATTAGAAACAAAGAAAAGAATACGGGACTGTTATCTAATATCAGTATTCCACTATAGCAGTGAATGCTAGAAAATCTCACAGGCGAAGAAGAAATTTGAAGCAACAGAAATGTGGTTCTACAAAAGGACGCTCAGAATATTATGGATCGAACATGTGAGCAGCAATGAAGAGAAGTAGAAATTTCTAGGACACATAGTGATGAAAGAAGGCTTTGAAAATTTGATACTCAAAGGATATTTGGAAGGCAAGAGGGACACAGAAAAACAGCACATAACCTAACTAGAGATTTTGAGTAAATGGATAGCAAAACAGGGTTTAGGAGAGAGAGAGAGAGAGAGAGAGAGAGAGAGAGAGAGAGAGAGAGCAAAATATTAAGAGCTACAAAGGACAGGAAATTGTGGTGGGCCATGATCTCCTATGTCCTGAAGAGACATGGCACATAGAAGAAGAATAGCAGAGTTTTTTTTTATTTACTCACTCTCATTTACACTTAAACATTTTCATCTGCTATTCAGCATCTGATTACTGCATGAATTGGTAAAACGTTTGGGAAGTAGTCCATATTGGCGACACTTTTTGAACAAAACAAACTCTAAACAAAGAAACATTAATTCCTTAGGAATTATTTTGTTTATGATTCAAATACAAAAATAAAGTTGGCAGATATAAACTGCGAAATATCTTTATGACAGATGCGCATTATTTGATAAGAGTAATCGAGTCTGTTTTCATTGTGAAAATCCTTTGTGGTTGGGTGTTCTCAAAGCACACTATTATGTAGTAGTTTCCCGTATTACCTAAAGGCACATTATTTTTTTTATTAAAGAATCTTGAAAATTGTGCATGGCCATAATCGCTAACTTCCTGAAGGGACACGACGCATAGAAGAAGAACATAATATAAAATAATTATCTTAAAGGTAACAAAGCAATGGGTAAAATATTTAGACTACTGTTATGGTCCGGTTCCTTGTACCACGGTGATAGTCCAAGGTAGAACCAATAATGAAGAACTCGAATACGAATATGGAATAAGATAGATATATTATAAACAGGAATATATACAGAGAAGTAGAAAGTGTTAGTACGAACAATCAGGTTTAGTAGTAATTGTCTGAATGCGACTCTGCTTCGGTCTGTCTTTGACTCGACTGACTGACTCGCTCGCTGTGACTGACTGACTTCTGACGGATCTCACTCCAGACTTCAGACTGAACAGTTTTTAGTCACCCCCACCCAAACAAGGGCATCATGTGGCACAAGGCCGGTTCTGGGGATCCTTTTCGCTCGGAGGCAGAGAGTTTGACCAGCACAGCTGGAGACGAATCTCCAACTAATTTCTGAAGCAAGAATATTTACCTTACCTCCCCTAGAGACACCTTCTGCTGTGTTAGTGTTATGATAATTTACTCACGCACGCATGGAATCTCTCAGCTATAAATAGGAGCAGCTACAGCCTTTTGGAGAGTGAAGTTTCCAGCAGTCAGCTCCGACAGTCGGACCGAACATTCTTGCTGTAACACTCTCGTTTATATATGTTTTGTATTACTGTTTATGTTAATATATTTGTTTAACTCAATTCTTCTCTTTGTGTCTTTATTTCTGGCACCAACAAGGCCACAACAGTTAGTCAAATATTCCTGATTTTCCACCCCCTACTAACCCACTGTTCATCTACACATCGCATCGTGTAACTGACAATACGGACGGCACTGGAACCATGTCAGTCTCTCCCCGGCCAAGAGAGAAGCAGCAGTGGCTTTTATAGCCCCATCTGTGACTGCTAATATCGACCAGCAACCAGATAAACTCTATCTACGGTTTTGTTGTCATTTGATCTTATCCACTCATTTACTTTTCCGTCCCCCTTCGGTCAAATGGAAGCCGATTAGAAAACTCGACATCAAAGGCCCGATTGACTGGTCATAAAACAAAAACATTTGAGATCGCGTTAAAATCAGTCCTTCCTAACAGCGGGACATGGCATTATAAAAAAAGTATTAATATATGAAAAAAAAAACAAAAACAAAAAAACCTCGATGTTTCATTGTTTATTGGTTATCTGCGAATTGTAGTATATAAAAGAAAAATAAAATACTAGTCATTAATTAATAATAATTGCTATTTACTCTGGAAAACAATTATCACTTTAAACAGTCGCACTACTGATGGTCTGGTGCTTCTGCTAAATATTTAGAAATTCTTGATAAAATTCAAAGAAGAATCTGCAATGTTATTGACCCTGACTTGGTATCTCGGCTTCAGTTACTTTCCCACCGCCGTAACGTAGCTTTCCTGTGCCTTTTCTATAAATACTTGCATCGTAGTTGTTTTGATGAATTTTCCTCTATGACTGAATGTAGATTATCAAGAAATTCCTAATCCAAGGAGATTTTTTAAATTAAATAAAAAAGAATATGAATCAGTATTGAGGGACACAAAAGAAAATTGAATTTTAACCCTCAGTTGAACCATCAATTGAAGAATAAAAGTAAAAATAGAAAAAGGGAAATTATCTGGTTCAAACTACCATTTAATTCAAATGTAAGAACAAATATTGGGAAAATATTCTTTAAATTACTCGCTAAACATTTCTCAAAAGCTTCAGAACTACATAAAATATTTAATAAAAACATGGTGAAATTGAGTTATTGCTGCATTGATAATTTAGACAAGATTATTAAGAAACATAATTTGAAGAATACCAAGACAGATGATAGTAGTAACAACACCAAAATCAAGCCATGTAACTGTAGAGATAAAAGCAGATGTCCGTTGGATGGCGCTTGTAATTCAACGAGTGTCATTTACAAAGAAGAGGTGGAGGATTTCGGCGGATTTACCGAAGGTGCATTTAAGAAAAGATAGTATAAGTTAATGTAGTGTAAGTTGGAAACCCGA